GAAAAGCTTCTTTTGATGATTTTTTTTGTTTTGTTATAATTGTTTCCTCTTTGTTATAATTTTTTCCTCTTTGTCTTTTGACCTAATATATCCTATTGCTTGTCTCTGTGGTGTGATTTAAGATCGTATTTATTGTTTTTAGTTAAACAATTATGTCATTTGATTGTTTGTTTACTGCCTAGATTATCTCTTGACATAAGGTTTAGGATGATGGATGCAATACTTAGGTGTTAGAGTTTTTATTTTCCTAAACTGTTAGTTCGCACGATTTTTTGTGGTTATCCTAACCTGGGGCATAGATTGTTGTGGTTGACGGGTTGGAGAGAGAGTATATCAATCCGTGCGAATGATTTTTTGCTTTCTCGTGGCTAGGTTTTAATTTATAAATAACCTACTTAATATTACCTAGATGTTGTGATTCGTGACCAAGGCTTGGAAATCAATTCACAAGGTTCAGTTATAATTGGAACACAGGTAGATCGTTAGATACTATTTTATGGCTTACTAATTGCTTAAGGTTTTAGCCTGGGTCATCTAAGAGGAAAGGCTCAAGTGAAGGAGGAGTAACCGAAGTTCATCACTGGCTATCCTAATTAGATTGTTTCTTCTTCAAAAAAATCTATTAGTTTTGGGTCGTTTATGAGGGTAGGGGAGTGAACCGTCGTTTGAAGTCGTTAGACTGTTTTTTTAAAATTGTGAGATTGGGAGAACAAAATTGTTCTGATTTGATCCAAGGAAAGGTTTGATGATCAGTAAATAAATAAGATAACTCAAGTTTTAAGTGAAATTGAAGATCTAAGGAAATTTTTGATGAGCTGTTTGTAAAAAAAATTAATTTATGAAAAAGCAAGGATAAAACTTGATAAATTTTTATGTAAAAGTTCAAGTTTAAGAAAATTTAAAAATTAATGTCTTGATGATATTAGTTTTTTTTTTGAATTTATGCTGTTTTGTTTCAGGTGATGAAGTTGAGATGAGAAAAATCATGTGTGTTGTTTCGTGAATTTAACAATGAGTTTTAGTACTAACTACTTTTTGTATTTTTTATTCAATAAATTATTTGTTCAAAAGTTTGATTTACAGCAGAGTTTGAGAGAAACGACTTTTCGCTAACAGTCACTATTGTTTAAATAATAGATTTAAAATCAAATGAGTTGTCGATGAATTATTATTCAGATAATTTTCATGTCAATAAATGAAATTCTAAACTTGCTGCATAAATTATTCTAAATACAAAAATTTGTTCAGGTTTCCGTCGTACTATCATGCAGTAGATTGGTCCTTTTCCTGATCGTTGTTCACGCCTTGATCTTGGTCTTCTTGCAATACCTGGTGTTTCTAGTATTGTTTGGAAAATTGGCGTAGATTTAGTGAGACGTAGAGACATTTCTATTAAATTGTCTATTTCATCTAACATTTTTGCAATTTCGTAATTGTCTAATTTTAAGTTTGTTTGTCTAATTTTAAGTTATTTAAGGTCTTCTTTGAGTCTTTTGGTCGCACTAGATGAGTTATGGCCTTTGGCCTGTACTCATAGAAAAACTTCAGATATGGTACACTGTCTGTTCGTCACGTTATCTTTTTTTCGGCCGGATAGATTCGTGCAACTTCTTAGGTTGATACCAATCTTAATCTTACTCTCATATCTCCTAGTCTCAATAGATCGAGTAAATACTGGTTTTCGCGAGTTAGTTCTTGGAGTTAATCCAGAAGGAGAACAACTGTATTCTAAGGTTTATTCAAATTGTTCTAGCGCTGAAGCTACGAGTAGTTTCAGCACTTACAAATCAGTGTCAATGTTAGAGATGGAATATGATTGGTTAGTTAGTAATATTTTATAGAGGTAATTTATCAATAATACAATTAGTTTATAAATACTAGTTTAGAATTGTTTTCAACACTTTAAAAGGCAGTCAGAACATTCAGGGTTTCGGATTCATACGAGCAGACCTGCATAAATTTAAGTCTGAATTTACGAAATAGGCAACAAATAATTGAGGTATATTTTCATATACCAGTTAAGTAACAAGTTCTGCATCAGGAATGCTATACGGGTTATTCAACCTTCTAGTAGCATCCTTCCAGGCCACCCCTTAAAAGTGAAAGTGCCTGAAAAAGAAAATTGCTGATAGTAAAACAGAGAAAACAACCTTTCACAATCGCAAACATAAGGCTTGCATAAGTTTTTTAAAAATACTTGAACTATTCAGTCATAGAAATATGGTCTGGTTATCGGTCAAATTCTATAAGTTTTCTTATCTTTAATTGAAACAAAGTTTTTATCTGTGTTTTTAAACAGCATGCAAAAATTTTCATTTTTGCTCTAGTTTTACTTGCAGTCTTGAGTCTCTCCAAATACACAAAATTTAAATGTGACTCTTTCTTAGTTGTCTCAATAATTCATAAAAAATTTGAGTTATTTCAATGCATTTTTCCCAAATCTCAAAAATAAATCTCTTTTGTCTTTTTTCTCCCATGTCTGATAAGGACCCATGGTCAATATGAAAATTGCATTTCTTGTGCATGGATTTTTTTAACTTAAATCTTCAAAGGACAACTTAGTTCTTACAGTTTTTGCGAACGATTCCAAGCACTCGCTTTTGGAAGCCTAGTTTTCGTAATTACCAAAATATTCGCAAAATGGTTACAACCTCTTTCGTAATTAACCATTTATCCCGCACATGCAATTCTGATCTTCTTAGACTGATTTGTTATCACAATTTGAACTAAATTGAAAACTATGATTTTTTCAGGCAACGGGTTTATTCATTCGTGAAGCAAGTCATTTGGGCTGTTAGCCATCCCACCCACTCGAACATCCCACCCACCCCCCCCCCCCCCCCCTCGAACATTTCAAATTTGCCATTTTCTCAATTGTTCTACGTTTTATTATGGCTGAACGCGTGATGTTACGAATTAATATATAAAAGACAAGTATGTTCAGAATAATTCATTTCATTAGAATTTTCATTTCATTAGAAAAAGGGGAATAGTGGAAAAGAGCTGTGATCTGAAATCATAATAGACAAATTTGAAAACTCGTTGCACAAGCTTGTGCATTATTTGTCTCGTGCAATAAAAAACCTACTTTGTATCCAAGAAACTTAAAGTGCGTCCAGATTACATGTAATAAGCCAAAAAACAAGCCTAAGAAAACAACGAAACGCCAAGAAAGTCAAAAACACGAAAACTTTAAAAATGGCTCCTCGAAAATTGAAGAGTTGTTGTTGCAATGGCAGCGCAGGAGACAGGCGAACCCGTCCATGTTCTTGTCGGAACCCTTGCTGCCGGGTGCCTCCCGCTGCACCGTGTGGTTGCGGATGTCGATCCGATTTCTGCAATAATCATTGCTCTTGCGGGAAGTCCCAGAGTCGAAAAAGTTCGTCCCGACGTTCAATACGAAGTCGGAGTTCTCAGAGTTCAAGTAGAAAACGAGAGGGTCCGGCAGGGTGGGGTAAACCTTTCCAGGTGAGGAAAAGCAGAGATGAAGATGAGTATGAAGATGAAGAAGAATTTAGTTCGGTTGAATCGGAATCATCACACGGATCGAGTTCGTCCAGTGATTCGTGTGATCCAAACGACTCACTTCTACGTGAGTTTGCTTTTTTCAAAAATGTATCTAACTAATTCTTTTAAGCAAAAATGTGTCATTTAACGATTTATGAGCAGCCTATTGATTCATAAAATTTGCATCGCAAAAACACAGTTTTTGTGATACATTTTTGAAGTTTTTTTTATTTGTTGCTTGTATGGCTTTTAAGAATGTCAGATGCAGTTAGACAACTTTGCATGTCGTGTTCGCAACATGAAGAGACAGTGCTACTGTGGAGTGAAGCAGCACAACAGGGGCTGCTGTGACTTCCTGCGTCCAGGGGACCTACACGTGCCCAATGGCAGTCTATTCCAGGCACCTCTTTTCTCTTTTTTCATATCAAAAAATTGAAACCAAAAAAATCAGTACTTTGAGACGCAATAATTATAATTCGAAATTATTAAACTGAATCTGGAATTGAATCAAGTTCTGAAATAGTTTTTTTTGCAAGGAAACCAGAGCTTAGTTTGCACTACAATGCACAAAGTGTTTCAAATGTTATGTACCAATGTCATTGTCCGAACTACATTTGATTTTTACTATTATTTTGCAAAGAAAATTTGCGAATCAAAGTTGTTCCTCGTTTTTTTAAAAACCAAATTAAGCAATCAGTTCCATATAAGATAGTACTTAATAGAAAGTTCTCAGCGGCGCTTCTACATCAACAAGTTGATTTACCTTCTACGCTAGCTCAAGTTGGTGCTCTTTCAATGATAAGTTTTCTATCTTATTGGATTATTGTTTTCATATTGGTCACAGTCTTCAAGTATATAGATCTGTTTCAGTACAAATTTGACACGAGAGGCAGGCCACAGAACCGAGAGGCGAAAGCTGTCCACTCCACTTTACGACTAGAGGGCCGAATCAAATAGAATACATTTTTAAAACCAATCAGTTTAAATATTAATTTATTCGACAATTTTCTGTTTTCCATCTCGAAAATATGAGTCAAATTAAGGGCGAATTTAGGAGGGAGTGGGGGGGGGGGGGGTTTGGGCGGACGCTTTCTTTCTTCGGGGATTCGTCCATTTTGGTATTTTTTGACATCCATGTTAGGCCGACCAACCCTAAATTTAATTGGGCGCCAATCTATATATACTTATTTTGAAAGGGAGCGCGCGCCAAAAAAAAAGTAACCAAAAATGGCATTTTTGACCTGTTTTTTTTTCAAAATTTTGTCTGCTCTGCAAAATTTTCAGTCAAAATTGGGTCATTATATTGTTCCAGAAGCGTTCGAAAAGTCAATTTGGTCGACCAAAAAAGTCGACAAAAATTGACACAATTTTTTTGAAAATCCGCCCCCCTCCGTCACTCGAGAAAATTCTAGATCCGTCACTGAATTAAATGATTTGATTTTTTAAATTGGTCTGTGTAACAACACACCTGCTTAGGTGTTTCAATTTTTTTCTTAGATCAGCCTTTATCATCACATCATCAGAAGAGCATTGGCCTAGTCTACATTAAGAACTGATTTAAATAAAAAGTGTCGGTTTTCTGTTTTTGAGGCTGACCAAGAACATATTGTGTCCTTTGCCCAAAGGATCAACGCTAGTCGAGTCTCGCTTTTCCAGTTGCGAGAAAAACTTCTGCTGCTCTTCGGTTAGATGTTCGGATCCAATTCCGAGGAGTAGAACTGGCACTCGTTTCAGATCTTTCTCGATGAATGAGAAGAGTTGATCGATTGTGTCTTGAAACATAGGGAAGTATTGGGAGTCAAAGAGAACGTCATTTGCTGAAATACAAACCAAAATTAACACCTAGTTTTACGCGGGTAAGATAACTCCCGGCTTGTACACCCGCATGTTATATGACCCTCTTACCGTCCATACATACGCACACTACACACATGTACACTCACAGAAATACGCAACACAACCACACAGACACTCGCGCACAACTTTGCAGCTGAGTTTCGGAAAATAAAAAACATAAGACCCCCTTTTAAAAAAACACAAAAGTTTCGCATTACTGCGCAAACACAAAAAGCATTTTCTGCTAACTTGATGTTGCACGAAAGATTATAAGAACGTTTTCACACATAACTATTTTAACAACTGATTTTATGTACTCATGAGAACGCACAAGTGAAATATATGACCCCTTTTTCCAAAGCTTCCAACAAGACTTCCCGTATCAAGGCAAAGCCCTGAACGTTCCGACCGTCTTTTTAGCTCAATGAAAAAGTTTTCTCGTTAAACGAATGGATATACTTTTTTTCTTTAGAAAAATGAACATTTTATCGAACGTTTTTTAAAAATCATCTTCAATAAGTACTACATCTCCCAATGGAATAGTTGAAGTTACAAAATTGAAAAAAAAAAATCATCCACCCAAACGCTATGTAGAATTGGTGATTCTACTGTATTACATGCTATAGTAACCTGAGCGTAAGACTGATTCGTCATCAAGTTAAGATTGAATTAAACTTGTATTTGCTTAAGTTCTTGGAATTAATCCCCCTCCTTTGGGACAATAGGTAATGGAATAGATCCGAACAACCCCCCCCCCCCCCAGCTCGGGAACTAGTGGGGCGGACTTTATGAAATTTAATGGGGTAATACTAGAGATGATTTGACCCGGGGATGCAAGGAGCCGGACCCACCCGACCCCCTGGGCCGAGTGATAACGGTTCCCGGAAGCGCAAATGGCCCCACCGGAAATCCTTAACTACTGATCCGATTGAGCTCATTTTTAGGTACGTAGTAGCCCTGGATGAGGTAAGCTTAAGTCTGAAGTTTCGGAACCCCAAAGTCACCCCGGCCCGATTTATGCCTTAAACAAACAAACCCCCACCCAACTTCCAGAGGCTATTTCTCGACTCCCAAGGACCCTGGGGAGCTGAAACTTACGGGGAAGATATATAGTGACATGGTCTATCGTATGTTAGGATGATGACCCGATTGGGCGATCATGGCACGGGCTATTAGCACTTGGGAAAATCACCCCTTGGAGGTGTTAATAAGCAATTTGTGAAAAATAATGCGCGAGGGCTCATCGATTTTATGGCATTTATGTGTAGTATGATCCACCCCGGTAAAATGGACCCCTGTAAGTCTTAGTTCTTAGTTGACCTTTCCGGTGCTAATTGACCTTTTCCGGGAAAAGTGATAATGGACCTTAAAATTGGGATAACTTGGGAAGTATTTGTCAGATATGGATGAAACTTGGTAGATAGGACCCCTATATGACCTCGAACCGATTATGGGAGATTTGACCCCGGTTTGACCTCTATTTGACCTTTCACGGTTTTAGCCCCAAAACCCTTAAATTTAGAACCGGAAATTAACCCAAATCATATGTTTGGTAATCAGGAATGGTAATGGAGCTATTTTATGGATCTTGGGCGGTGATTAGTAGGTATGGGAATTTGTTTAGGCATTTCCCTGAATTCGATGGAATATCTTGGTTTAATGTAAAGTGGTATATTTTGGAATTATTAAGAGTTAGCTAAACAAACATTGGGTTCAATTTAACTTGTTGATTGAACTATTAATAGAAATGCGTCAATGGCACAGAAAAGTAGTCGCATATTATTTTGGCAGTATAAACGCGGGAATAGGGGAATTAATTAATCTGTATGTTAGGAATGTACAGGATATTCCATTGGCTTCTGGGGGGTGTTTTATTGGCTCAATTGGACCCCAGTTTAGGGAACGGCTTACCCTGAAGGTCGATCAGGTTGAAATTTGAATAGGTTACGTATGGGAATTTTAGGATTATGATAAACGGGAAATTGAGTTCACTGGGAAATTATCCTAGTCACGGGAAAAGGGAAAAGATACGGGAAAATTAAATAAAGTCCTTGGGCATTTTGATATGTAAATGAAGCTTGAATTAAGTTGAAGTTGCATTTGCTATTTGTTTAGCATAGCTTTGGTTGGCATTTTGAACTTGGCATTTAACTTAATGTGATCATGTGGAATTTATGGGCTGGAACGCTGCGTAGGAGGTACATAGGTAAATATCAAGACTTGTACGGAATGACGGATCCCTAACTAAAACTAAGAGTAAATAGACATAAGGCGCGGATGCTTCGGACCGACCTTTACGAACCAGAAAGGTTTAGAGTTTATTGTTAATAAGTCGTATCTCATTGAGTTAGTGAGGACAGTTTGGGGCTACAAGCTAAGGTAGTCGCTTTATTCTCAAAGTAAAGTGGGAACGAGTTGGAAGACTTGTTAACGTGATTAAGTTAGTTAGTGGATACAAGTTAGGCTATCTAGAGAATAGTGGGATCGTTGTTGAACGATCGATATTGAAAGAAGTTCTCGAGGAGAACGTTAGTTAGTTAGTTAATAGTAAGGTGTTAATTGAACTGCAGAAAGCAGGGGGTTAAATAATAGTAATCGCGGACCCATTCCATTGACTGAATGAATAATTTATATTCCAGCCATTTTTAGGCTACTCTGTATTTGGTTATATCTATTTCTTAATTCATTCTTATTATTGGAATTGTTGTTGCGATCGACTATTGATTGACGAGTGAGATACAATCGGAAGAGCACAGATCACGGGGCAAGCAGCATAGTACGATACAGAGAAGGCAACCACCATATCAACCCTTTTGGGATTGTAAACAGTACCGGGAATCGGTTGCCCCACTGACCCCAGTACTAAAGGGAACATATCGCGGCGGTGCGAAGGACGATAGCGAGTGAGAAAAGCCGGCCTAGAGATATTGTAAAATCCCCCACGTTTACACGCTATCTAAAGTACAAAGTGATTTATTTGGCTAATAGCAAAATAGTATATGCACCAAACTGTATACCTCAATTTAATTTGCAACGATTTCCAAGACGGATCAAAACTCCGCTTACGCATTAATAACACAAAATGGTCCCAAATTGGCAATTTATTAACCCCCACAGTTTTACCAATAATGATCACAGGTGGAGTATTTTTTTACAGTCAAGCTCAAGACAAAAAATTTCAGTCAAAGATTTCTAGTTAAAAAATTGAGATTTGTCTGGAGAAAAAAACCTGAGCACAAATGATCCGTCGTTTCTCCCAAAGTCGGAACAACGATAAAAAATTCTTTAAAACCAGGTTACTTTGAACACCTCGGGTTCTAAAAAATATAAGAGCAGTTTGTCAGATTTTCTTGACAAACAATTTTTTTTCAATTTTGGCGTAAGGCGCAATTTTTTCTGTCATTTGACAGATATAGATGCTTTAAGCCAAATTTTTCTTACAATATTTTGCGTGCAAAATTTTTTTTAAAAGATATAAGAGTTTGAGCTGACAATATGGCAAATTTGGATAAAAAAATTGCGCGTGAAGTTATCCGTTCTTTATTAAAATTATATCGTTTGCAGCTTCGAAGTCTTTTTAGAGAAACTGAAGCAAGTTAATTGACAAAAACATTGCGTAACTGAATGCAAAAATTGTGAATTTGTTCTTAGTACGGTTTATCGGGTCTGGCATTTTCAAAGACTGTGTAATTTTTATTTGATCATTTTTTACGGTTTTTTTGAAGGTGTTATCAAATGTTTCAAATGATACAAAAACGTAAGATTTTTTATATGACAATCATTACAATCAGGAATTTGCCTTGATACGAAATTTGATATGATCAATGGCTAAGAATATGCAATTTGTACTTAATAACGAATCTTACCACCGTTTGCAATAAGTAACTGTCATTTTGTAGACTAAATGATTAGATAGAACTTATAGTTTCCAGGTAAAATGAACTAGCAGGCTATGTTGAAACGATGCACTTTTAAAGTTATAGTCTTTTTATAAGTGCCAATTTGATACAAAATTTAGTTAATTTACTGACTTAATTTGTTAACATGACTTGGGAAGCACTTTCTGAAATTCATCAATTTTTTTGATTAAAAAAATCATGCTAACTCGTTAACCACCAATTCAGATATTGAAGGACAATTATCATTGTTTTAAACTACCGCAGCCCAACGTGACCTGTCGTGGAGTTTCGTGGATAATAAACCATTATCTTGGATTTCTGCTGTCAATCTTTAAATATTTATTGAAAAAATCAATTATAATCAATTAAAATTGGATAAAAATCTTATTTTTTGTTTTAGTAAAATTTTCAAAATATATTATAACCAATTATAATGGATTATAACCATTTTTTGGTAAATGATTTTGAAATTTTCAAACACAGGGCAGTGTTTTCAAAACTTTACCATTGCTTTTGGCTTGATACACGCTGCGGATAAAACCAGACTCGATTTGGCATGAAAAAAAAACAATTGTCTGCTTTTCAGTTTTTTGATTCACAACTTTTTCTCATAGTTTTTTAGCTTCTCGTTTTTAGCTGATCTTAAGTTACTCTCCTTAATCCAATTTACCTTCCTTTGTCGTCCCTTGTCGTCCCTCCAGTATAAAACCCACCCTACTCGTTTACACCCCCTCCCCCATACCCGTTTGTACCCTACGTTTACCGCCCTCAAGGTGGAGGGAAACTGGGGGCGGGAGGGAAACTAGAGGGAATGGGGGGACTGTGGTGACTGGCGGACGGGTTAAAAATGGCGGAACAGCAAACTTGGGGAAAGGGTGAACGTAAAATGAAAAAATGAATGGCAGGTAGATCAAACGGCCATTATATATTAAGGGGGAGGGAAACTGGGGGCGGGAGGGAAACTGGAGGGAATGGGGGATTGGGGGGACTGGGGAAAGGGTGAACGTGAAATGAAAAAATGAATGGCAGGTAGATCAAACAAGTACTTGACACAAATCCCTTACTTAAGCCGTAAACTATTTTGTTGTAAGATTATGTTGATGACTATATTGTTGTTGTGATCTTGAAAAAATAGACTGAGCTTCTTGTTTGTCTGACATATTCGAGTCTATTTAAGAAAAAGTTTGAAGATTATTAACATTTCAATAATAGTAAACTCTAAATTTTGCGTACTTCATTACCATTTCATAACTTAATTAAAATTGCGTTTTAAAATTTTCAAAAGATTTCCAAAAGATTTCCAAGTCACGCCATTCTAATCAGCAAATTCCTGACTGCCGTGACTTCAGCCCTCGAGTTCAACTCAACCTCCAAACCATGCTATGTTTACTAAGTGACCCTACCAAGGTCTTAATTTAATTATCCCGCTACATTTTGAAAGTTTAATTAAACTGGACTCCGAAAAATTACGTTTTTTAAGTTGATAATTTTTTCTTCCAGGTATAAACTTCTGCAGATAAGTGGAACGTGCATTCAGAAAAAGAAAAGCTTCTGATTGTTGTTCAAGATGCACAAAAAAATTCGAAACAAGACTGTAGATTAAGGGGAACTGCTTCTCTAGGTTCGCTTTCTCTTTCCTAACGACACTCCAAAGTCGTCCCTTGGGCAGTGAATTCAGCGGGCCAACCAAGATTCACTACTATCTACAATCCCGAAAGGGTTATTTTGGTGGCAAATATGCTGTATTTTGTTATGTTGATTGCCCCTTCTGTGTATTGCTCTTCCGGCTGTCTTGTCTACTCGATACAATTGCAAGAATTTCCAATGATAAATTAATTTAGATGATTATATGTCCAATTACAGAAGGCTCTAAGTGGCCAGGATATAATCTAATAATCAAATCAAAGGGAAAGGGTCCGCGATTTATCAGCACACTTTTTTTACTTGCAATTAACTTCCAACTAACTCCACTAACACTAAACTGTTCTCTCTTTAGAGAACCTTTGATGAGAACTAACTGTCTACTGGTCTCTTACTCCAAGAACCAATTACCTGACTAACTAGCAATAATTGTTCTTTCTAACTAACTGAGAACCAACTATACTCTCTCTCGCAGTATCAATTGCTCTCTTCTCTGACTGAGAACCAAATACTCTTAATAGTAGCCAACAAATGTTCTGAATCTTAAAGGCTCTCCGGTACCCTCCAATTCCTTATCTTTATTTACACTTAGTTTTAGTTAAGTCACGCCATTCTCTGTCAGTCCTGACATCTGCTTGAATCACTCGTCCGCACATGTTTTAAGACTATATCTCTCCACCTGTCAACTCTGCCACGTGCCAACTTCGCTTTCTTATCAATCTTTTCACGATGATTAGATACCGGTATGCGGTAGGTGTCACAATTTGACCAAGCAAACAAATGTCATACGATTCTAATCAGCAAATTCCTGACTTCCGTGACTTCAGCCCTCGAGTTCAACTCAACCTCCAAATCATGCTATGTTTACTAAGTGACCCTACCAAGGTCTTAATTTTAATTATCCCGCTAACGTTCCGACCTCCTAACGGTAGGGGGAGGCCCTTTTCATGGGTAGCTAATTCATCCCATGCATCTAAATTTTTTTTATCTGTACTATATTCCAATCCCGACCTTCTAGCTATCAGGGGAACGTAGTTCGTCTTTGAGGGGTCAAATCAAACCAAAAAGACACCTCCGGGAAGCCAAGTAAATTCCCCGTCTATTCGTACTATTCAGAAGAAATAATTCTCATGCTGCGGTCCTGTTACTATCAATTTCCTCTGGGACTACTTTTTTTAGTCTAATTGAATTGCTATTAATAGATCACTCGCCAAGCTAAACTGAACCCAATGTTTACCAAGTCCACTTTGAATTAACTCTACTACTCCAAGGTTGCAAAAAAACTAAATCTCTATTAGCTTCTGCTCTATTTCCCAACATATAAGTTTTCCTCCCAACTTTTAGCAAGGAGCAAGGTGACCCGTTCATATCTCCAGGGGTTGGGCTGGGGAATACGCCAATTTCCGGTGTTAATCTCGGGGTTTTCTATGCAATTTTGAGGTCAAACGCCCAAAGGTCAACTTAAGGTCACCCAGGGGTCAACCGGGGTCAAAATTCCATATTTGAGATCAGAATCCCATGGGGGTCCTAACTACCAAGTTTCATTCATATCCCATTTCTTCACAAGTTATCCCATTTCTAAGGTCCAATATCACTTTTTCCGGAAATAAGCTATCAAACATCGGAAGGAGTCGCCAGAGGGTTTTCACTCATTAGGTGTCTTTTTTCGGGGTTCGTATCTTGTGTCGATTGCTGCATTATGCCACTGTTCATCATTTCGGGTAAATTGCCTATTTCCGGTCTAGCGGGGTGTTTTTCCAAGTGTGAATAACTTCCGGTCCACTCGCCGGATTTGGTTCAAATTATAAAACAAGATGTATCTTGCCACTACCTATCATCCCTCCAAGTTTCAGCTCACTGTGATCATTGGAGGCCGAGAAACGACTTCCGGAAATTAGTGGTGGGTTTGTTTACTTAGGGCATAAAACCTGAATTGAGGTTCCTAGGAGTCTGGGATTCTAAACTTAAGCTTCCCTTAACTAGGTCTACCACAAACTAAAATTTGGGCCTAAAACCGCCGCTAGTTTCCGAGTTCTGATAGGGCCATTTACACTTCCGGGGACCGTTATCACTTGCCTCCCAAGTGTCTGAGGGGTCCCGATTTCTGTATGCCCGGATCAAATCATCTCTAGTATCGCTCCCACTGAATTTCATAACATTAGCTTTCTTAGCTCCGATTTGGGGGGAAGGGGTTTGCCGATTTTGTCAAATTTTACTTTCCGGCATAGGAGGGACGATATCTTCGAAGAATGAACTATTTCGAACTCTACCCTTTGTTTGCTCTACTACTTAACTTAATGTAGAATCAATCTTACGCTCAGGTTACTGTAGCATGTAATACAGTAGAATCACCAATTCTACCAAGGACAGTACAACTTAATGAATAAAAAAGACAAAACTTGTTTTCGTTAAGAATGTAATTCTAAATGTTGTTTTCTCATTGGATTCCCGGTCATCATAAATGAGTTGGCCATCGAATTCAAGTTTTTACCCGCCATTGGCGTGCACGCCATGGAAACTTTCAGAGCCGTACTCTTTTCGAGAAACTCTTTATCAAATTTAACGAAAAATTGTTTCGCTAGAATAAGACGGTGATTTTTATGGTTGGAACGGCTGCTATATACATTTTATAGAACGATTAAGCTTTCATATCAACCTATTTAGTATTTAAAGTGACATGTTGTCGTAAAAGATCCAGTTTATGGTAAAAAGAATGATAAATTATGAAAAATTACCTTAAGTGAACCATTAAAGGCGCCAGCTTTCTTTTCTTTTTTTTCGTCAAAGTATTCGTCAATTCATCTTCAAAATAAAGCTTGATTTTCAAGTCCTGCAGCTGTACTCAAAAAATATGCTTTATTTAAATTTAATTGATTGCGTTTATTTTTTTTCTTGAGTTTTTCCACGAGCTGTCTCCCAGATTTTTTTTCATCATTTCAATCACATGTAAAAACTATATGGCACGGCATGGAAAATTGTGAATCTCGATATAGTAAGATGTCTTGACACCGCGTTTCGAAAGTAAGTTTTGATGAAGTTAAGTTGTCAAAGTCAGCCCCCCCCCGCTATAAATCCACTACTAAGAGGATGCGTTATAGGAAGAAAAAATACAGAATTGATGGGGCTAAATCCGAAGATACTAACCCAATACAAAGAACACGAACCTAATATTAAGCATACGTCATGCAACATTGCTACGTATGGTCCATAATCTAAGCCATCTACAGTATCTACGCTGACTTGTTCCTTCCAGTACTGGGCCAGTTCAGAAGTGGGGAACTTCTGGCCCCAGTTGAAGGGTATGTGCTTGTGGTACAGTCCATTACGTTCGTTATTCCACTTCAAAATCGACATGGAATCCGCATTCTCAATGTCAGACGTGACAATTCCTGAAATTAGAGATTCATCAAAAACATCGATGCCTTCTTGGTATTCTCCCAAGCCGAACTAAATTGTATGAAAATTAATAATTCGATAGAATGTATGGCGTTAGGTTTCTGACTTGAAACTGGAAATAATATTATCAAAAATTCAGTTGAAACATTTTCTCCAATTCTGGAAATCAAAATGTCTGTATCTTTTTGTTAGGGTGACGTAAGCGGAAGTCAATATAGGTCATTTTATTGTTCCGGCCATTTAAAAAAATGAGGAGAAATTTTGGATTCGGGTGTGTTTTAGTTTTTCTTTTGTTTATTTTCCACGCAAAATCAGCTACCTCAAAAAATCCTCAGAATGAATCAAGTCAGATATAACCTTCAATCCCTTTCAGCTGTGATTCGAAAGATATTTTAAAAAATCCAAAAATGTCTCCCAGCATTGCGAGGCCAAACTATGCACTGGATAGGGGCACAATTTTGTGTCTATATGTTCCTGGATTCCTAATACAAGTCTTTAAACACGTTCTAAAATGTAAGTGAATTCCGCGTACAAATACTAACAAGACTGCTCGTATCAGGGCGAAGCCCTGAATGTTCCGACTGCCTTTAAGGTTTATGGAGCAGCAGTAATAACATTTTAAAAATTAAATGAAATAAAATAAAACGAAAATTTTTTTTCTAAAATTTGAAATTTTTTTATAAAAATCATCCCCCCACACGCCATATAAAGTATAATAAGAGAAATTTCGTTCCTTTTAACAAATCAATTATGGCAAATAAGCTTCGTTCAACCAATTTGGAACGATTTATAAAACGGATTAAATCTCCGCTTACGCGTTAATAGCGCGAATTATATCGCGCGTTAATTGTCCCAAATTGGTCAAAATGGCAATCTTTAAACCCTCATAACTTTACGAAAAAAGATCACAGGTGAAATATCTTTTCAAATTTAAACTCAGGACAACAATACCTTTTGAATGATATAAAAAAATTCCGTCAAAAATGGCTAGTTAAAAAGTCGAAATTTGTCTGAAGAAAAAAAAACCCACCCCGAGCACAAATATTCCGTTAGTTTCGTACCGAAAGTCGGAACAATAACGTAAATTTTGTCGGCACATTGATTTTGTTGCGGATTTTGTTGAAAGCAAAGTATTTAAGAACGGGGCAAAAAGCGGAAGCCCCCCTTTTTTCCCAAATGAGTGGAGGGCGCCCTCACCACCCAAAGATTGCCCCATTCGTTACGATTTTCCGACACCCATTTGTGGCTGCTGAGCCTAAAAATCCAAGATTTTTGAATCGGCATATACAAAATAAACAATTATTCTGTTCGTCGTTAGATCTGAATTGGTTATAAAGATGACGTGGAGTGGTTATGGATTTTTCTGTTATAATTATCAGGGATTTCAATCTGAGATTAATTTCAAAATCAGATGAATTTTGGACAGAGTAGGCTTGACTGGATTGATTGGTAATTTTGAGGGAGGGCAAGCAAAAGTCATTACAAGGATTTTTCAATTTCGCTTATGACATGTAGGGTTGACTTGTTTCAATTCCAGAAGAAGAAAATGAAAACGATTGCTATTCCAGAAGTTCTGATTCAATCACGTATGGATTTTCATCTAATGAAGTTCTCAATTTCACTCGGAAACTAATGAATTTTGGATAAAATAATAATTTATCTAGATATAGCAAAACTGGGTTCAAGTGCAAGAAATGCGTGTTAGCTGTCTATGCTTGAAAAAATAGTCTGCAGAAGCAGGGGCGGATTTAGACGGAGGTCGGGCGCCTCCTTCGCTCAGGGTCCCCCTTTTGGTATTATTTTAATTTTTGGCCGACCATCCCTAAAGTTTCACTAAATGCGCCTTCGGCGCCGATATATACTAATTTTGAAGGGGAGCGCGCGCCGAAAAAACGCGATTTTTTGGTCAACATTTTAAAAAAATCCCTAAAAACGCCTTTTTTTGGCATTTTCCAAAAAATGCCTAATAACGTTTTTTTGGCCTGTTTTTCAGAAAATTGCCTGTACAACAGAAAATTTGGTCAAAATGGGGTGTTTATAGTTATTTAGAAGAGCTCAAAAAACTAATTTGGTCGACCTAAAAAAAAGGTCGACAAAAATTTCGAAATTTTTTTGAAATTCCGCCTCCCCCTGTGGAGAAAATCCTACATACATCCTCACCTATGTAAAGGCAGGGATGGATCTAGAACTTTCCGGGGGGGATTTTCAAGTTTTTTGAAAAAACAGGCCAACAAGGCGTTTTTAGGCACTTTTTGAAAAGTTGACCAAAAATCGCGTTTTTTCGGCGCGCGCTCCCCCTCAAATTAAGTGAATGTTGGCGCTATCAGCCAAAAAATAGGTCCGTCAGCTAAAAATGGATTAATTAGTACAAAGGGCCGGTCCGGTGTCGAATCCCAGAGGGGGGTATCTGCCCCTATCCCTAATTTTGCTGGTTTTTAAAACAAGCAAAATTTCTGCTCAATTTCTTCCTAAAAACCTAAAAAAAGTAAACGGTTGACCAAAAATGCTAGTCAAAGAATTTTCATATATGAAAAAATGCTAATAATACACTTTTCATGCAATTCCATAAGTAGAGAAGTTTGCATGAAAAGTCTATGATTGTGATTTTTCATTTTTCATATATGGAAATTGTATGACTAGCAATTTAACCAAATAAAAAAAAATTGATATTTGAAAACTTAATTTCTCAAAATTTTTGGGATGTGTTTGTGACCAAACACAAGTGACAAAACGCATGGCTTACTCAAAGTTAGATTCACCAAAGGTTTGATTGTCTCGTATTTACAATGCCTTAGAAACTACTTGAACCTTACAAGAGTTTTCTTATACAAATCATAGCGTGAAAGCATCAAACTTTTATATTTTGGCAGAAATTTTCAAAGATGATTATTTTTAAAATATGTATTTTTAAATTATCAGACTTCGACAAGGCATACATAAACATGCCATACAAAAGAAATTGGAATTTTTAGCGTTTTTGAAAAAAAATTTTTTTGAGAAACTGAAAAAATTTCCATTGAAATTATATGATTAGCATTTTTTGAGACGAAAAGTTTTGCTTTTTTATTCAGTACAATACAGCGACTTTTTTTATGCCGTAAAAAAGTTTTTTGAAAATTGGCTGAGACCAGTTTTGCAAAATGTATGAAATTTGTATGACTAGTATTTTTTCATAGACTTGGTTTATGGAATTGTATGATTAGCGTTTTTGGTCTATGGTCAAAGTTTGATCTTGGCCGGGGAGTTTATAGCGTTAGACATACCAAATGTTAGTAGTTTAAATATTTATATTTCCTAAATTTACCTTTAAAACCACGGCGTTTCATAAACATGGACACTAGACCGTCACCACAGCCCAGCTCCAAAATCGGCAGACTTTTCAACTCGGGCAAAGCCGACATGAAATTAAGAGCCGACTTCAAATACTCTTGATTTGAGTAACAAATTGGGTCGTATTTCTCTCGACTGTTCCAGGGAAGAGCTCTCAACACAAATACTTCACTAAGAAGTCGAACCCTGAGCATCCATTGGGGCGTCTCGTTTTTTGCCCTGGTTTCGGAGAACTGTGACGTAAGAGCAGTTTCGCCGAATAACAAATCGATAGTTAAGGGTAGTTCAATTGACATCGTACGCAGTTTTTGAAGTTTTTAAATTTTAAACTCATGATAGCTAAGTCATTGTGTTAGAAGTGTTTTGTAAAGCAACTTTTCGTTATAGCAGATGCATGCTGTTACGAGTTCTTGAACAAAAAGTGACCGATCATAAGCAAAACTCAACTACCATAAGCACGAATGTCTGAAAAAATGTTCACAGATTGTTCAAAAATAATAATTAACTTGGCCGTCTGTAGTATTATTGGCAGCTATGAAAATACTATCATTGTTTCAAATAAATAAAGTATATTCTTTAGTTTCATTAATTTTTAAATGAAAATGTTTCTAAAAAAGAGAGGATTTATAGATTCAACCTGGGCGGACCTAGAACTTTCAAGAGGGGGAGAGGGTCGACTTCTAAAGTTTTTTAGTTGGCTTTTTAAAAATTTCTCCTCATCATGGCGAAACTAAAAAAAAACATAATATTCAACATGCTTGATTAACCCTAGTTAACTCTGCCCTAACTAATGAGCCTTAATTCAGTATAAATCCCTGTTAAAACTTATTTTTAAAAATGCTTGCGATTTGATTCAGCACGGAAAAAGTGCAAGATTTGCAAAAAAAATAATTGCTCAAAAATAATGGTCCATCCAAAGTTAAAATTTGGATAAAATTTAATTAGATGGGAAAATTTGAGGCTGTTAAAAAAGGGATACAAAATTTCTGATGTTGAACTTCACTTTTTTGATAAATTTTTGTTATTTTCAAAGTCCTGATTTTCAGTTGAAATTATAGAAGTTAAGAAATCATGAAAATCATAGTTTTCATTCCAAATTTTTACACTCACTGAAGATATTGACGCCTTGAGTTGAAGTTTGCACAGATACTGCACACTGGCCAAACTGATGCTGAAAACTCGAAACTTAAAACGTTGCTAAACATTGAAGCCCACTCAAAAACTTTGCCTGCTCGAACAACCAACAGGGAGCAAAATTTTTTTATGAGTTGCGAAAAGTAGTTTTTGAAGTTTTACTGGTATCTGAAAAGAAGAAAGAAAAAAGTTATATCACAAGGCGTAAAACTTGATCTTGCAACCCATAAACAACAAGAATTTTCCATTTCTAGTGTATCCAAGATTTAGAAAGTTTCGGGCCAAAAGCCAAACTAGAAACACAGCATTCAAAAGAAAATCTAAGCTTCATCTAAGCACTTCACAACAAATTTTTGAAAAACTAACTGTTTCTTGTCAGAAAATAAATAGAGTTTGTTAGGTTTGGTGGCTCGGTATTTTGAGTCAACACAAGCAGAAAAAAAGCGTTGATTTTTTTGTTTCCCTACTCTCAAAAGGTAAATTAAATAAATCCAAATGACAGTTGACACTAGTTTTTTTTTAATTTTCTGTTTTTTTCCCGGTCCAACGATGATGATAGAAACTCGGAATAATTATGCTTGGGTGATTTTTAGTTAGTCAAATTTTGACTGGAATAACAGTTCGCTACTACGAAAACAACTAATGGAACATTATAACTAAAATTGATCCTGCTAACAAAACAATAGATTTAATATGCAATGTAAAAGGTTTCTTAGAGCAAACGGAACGAGTAGCAAAGGCAGATGAAAACTCGACGACATTCCGACTCTGGAATGGCAAATCTATTGGTTTGTTACCGTAGTCTCAACCCTCGTAGGATTTCAAGTATCGACCCAACATTGCAGAAAAGGAACCCATTGAAAAGGAAAAATGGCCAACTCGATATAAAATTCACATTCAAATCCTAGTCACTTGGCTCTTGACACAAAAAGGTCAAAATTCATCTTTCACGTCTTCTCGCTCTAAACTTAATAAAAACGACACATCATTGCATCAATCCGAAATCATGACACGATCACTCCAGACGATCTAGGAAAAGTTAGACCCACTTCTGGAACGAGAACAACAACCCTCCTTCTCTTTACGAAAACAACTACATATCTTCTTCATTCGCGCAGTCTCTGCTCTCAAAAGAAAACTAATCCAGAGAGCGAAGAAATCTTTAAATCTAACCGTCGCTATAATAAACATCTTGAAAACTAAAAACTCACTAAGCCCCGATTTGGTTGAACTAGTTTAAAACTAGTATTCATAATTAATTATATTCTTGATAAACTATCTCTGTAAAATACTTAGAATTCACCAATCATGATCCATAACTAACACTGACAATTATTTGTAGTGCTGAAACTACTTGTAGTTAACGCACCAGAACAATTTGAATATAACTTAGAAGACAGTTGTTCTCCTTTGGAACTTCCAGATACGTAACCCGCAAATACCAGCATTCGCCATATCTATTGAGACAAGGAGATATAAGAGTAAGATTGAGATCGGTATTAGAATAAGAAGTTGCACAAATCTATTCGGCCGAAAATAAGATAGCGAGACGAACAGACGGTGTACCTTATCTGAAATTACTCAATGAATACGCTACTCCAGTCATAAACTCGACTACCAAATTTGGTGCGGCATAAACTCGACTACCAAATTTGGCGCTTCTTTACATCCACAGTTAGGAGTTTAGCAAGCAAGCGAGTGATATAATTAGTTTGGTGGCGAGACCATAGGAGGTCAAGTGCTTTGATGATCTTTTGCTCTTCACTACTTAGTGAGAATTCGTGCGGTGTCATTTGGATTAGATTATAAAGCTTATGGTTATAGTTACTGTTGTGAATAAATTCTAGGATTGCGACTTTGACGGGCTGTAGGGCTGTATATAATCGTGGAAGACAATTAGTGGGCGAGATTCATCAACGTTGAATGTTCTGGTTAGCGGGCAGAATATATCCATTTGTCTTATGGGGTCGTAATTTCGGATGATACCTTGCATATTACTGTCTTTTATACAATATGTGAAATTTAAGAAGAAGGGTGAAGTATATTTAGGGTTCATAAACTGAAATCGATGTTGTGGGTTTTGTGATGATGTAATAGTTGTGTAGTGGGTTTGGATGAAATTAAAATAAATGTACGTGTGAGTTTGTTTTGTGCGTAACTTTATTTGATGTGGACAGTGTTAGTCGCGTTCCTTTGTGTAAGGAAAATGAAAGCTAGTGAGAAATGGTTGAATTTAAAAGAAAAAGATCGTAGGCTTTTATGTCGCAAAGTGCTGTGGATATAATATGATCATATTTTTCATTCATGCAGTTAATGACCAATACATATTGAGGTTTAATGAAAAATTTTTCATTTAGTTGGGGGTTAGCGTTAGTATTGTTTTCTAAAAATGTTTTAGACGTATAAAGTGCAATAGCGTGAACATAGTGGTTAATGGAAAATTGGTTTGCTTTTTGTGCAACAAACCTTTTTAGTGTTTGGGCTAGTCCGATGGTTGTGAATTGTTTTTCACGAAGTGCTGTGGTTAGGTGATGTAGTCGAGTGTGACACAACTCTTTGTCTTCCTGGTTATTATATAATGGGAATGATAATGGGTTGGTGAAATGGTAAAATGAGGTCCATGAAAGTGTGGAAAACAAGGCATATTCGTCAACGTAAGTTCGTTGATTGTTGTTAGTAGTTTGATAGTAGGTGTATTGTGGAAAAAATGTAAAGCACATTTGTTGGAATTCTTTTGTGTTAGTGTGAAGTGGGCGAACGGAAAATTTTTGAGGAGGTCGATGGTTGGGAAGCATTGGGGTATTGGGATGTTTTCGTTTAAATATTCGGTGGCTCGGTTTTCTTCAGTTGTGGATGCTGGGTTGGAGGATTCGGAGGATCTAATCGTTTGCGATAGGGGATGAATTGTTTGTGTGTTAGGGTTTTGAAGCGGTTGTTGTAGGGTTATAAAATTATCAATTTCAGTTTCCAGTTCTTCATCAACGGGGCTAAGGGGGACAGGTGGATCGCTGCTCATTGGGGAGAGAAATGCAGTTGCATCAGTGTAGGAAGAAGGGCTGGGAAGGTTCATTGGAAGGGGGTTGCGAAAAAGTGGACGGGCTGGGCTCGGAATTTTCGAATTCATCTGGGGTTTCAATATCAAAATTGTTGAGGTGTGAGATTGTATGAGAAACTTGGGTGTGGAATTGTCATCAGAATCCATGCGTGGTGAATTATTAGTGTATGATGGTACGAGATAGGGAGTGTAATCAGGGTTTTAAGATGCTTGGAGAGTGACGTTGGAGATTGGATGGGTAAGAAAGGGAACGGTTGAGTGATCCAATCTGGCTGCTCATCCTGAGCTAAAAAAATGATTATTCTGAGGGCGGAAAATATTGGTATGTGGCTGTTCTATGATTTGTTCATACGTTTCTTCTAAATTTGGTTGCTGGGCTATTATAAGAGTAACTGGACTTAGTGGATAACTATGGCTTGTAGAGATGTGCTCTGTTATGGCTGTTTTTCTGTAATTTCGTGGTACTTAAGATAACGGTTGGTTAATATGTAAGTTGTGTAATTGTGGTGCCGTACGTGTTTTATTTTTGTTGTCTTGTGAAATATCATATGCATTTGGTGTGGATGATAGTTTCATGTTGTATTCATTTGTTTGAGCGTCTGGAAGGATTTTATTATCGTCATCGGGATATATTCATTGTTAAATTCATCTTCATCGGGATTCAAATGTACAACATTGTGGCTATTTTTAGATCCACATGGGGCGGCTATTCCAAAAAATTGTCCTTCTAGAAAGTGTGTCAACAAAATGTACTTTATTTTTGTAGTTTATAGGGATTCTTTTGTTACATCTTTTATCTTCAAATACATATAATGGTGATACTTTTTTCGTAAATATGTAATACCATAAAATATTTCCTTCGTAGTCTATAAAATTTGATTAGTTTCCTGAGAATAAATATACTGCATAAGGTATTTTAATACTGCAAGTGCAAGTGATTGTGATCGTTCAAGTTCAAATAAGTGATGAAGCGTCTCCAGTTCTGATAGAAACATTTCTTGAAAAATTCTGCTCATTGTGTAGTCCAATTTCATGTTCAAGTGAATGTCATAGTGAATTGCACCAAAATAGGTATTGTTCATAAATATAATTCTTGTAAATGTGTACTGCTTTTGTTTTGTGGTCAAACTTTTCCACCAGTAATTCCTGTGTTTTTCAGAAATGTTTTTGGGATATATGATTTTTTGTCATGATTTGAAAGGTAATTTGTTGGAATTGGGTTAATTATTAGTTTTCCTTTGTTCATGTCGAAACCTTTTTCGTATTCG